CACGCACACACACACACACACACACACACACACACACACATATACACACACACACACACACACACACACACACTCAGAGTGATTTTCAAGCCGCCAGATCCAGGGCTCAAACCACATCAGCCATATGGGAGTCCAGCACCTTAACCACCATGCCATCTGCTGGCCCTACCTAATGGATCTTTTTATGGAGCATGTCATGCTCTCCTTAAATATAAGTAGTAGCTGTCAGCAGCACTTAAACTTTTTAGCCAGGAATCCAAGCTCTAGAATGTCTTTATATAATGACATAAAAGTAGGCCCTCTTTATCTCAATTTACTTAACTCGCTATTCAAAAGTAATGTATTCATTTGTTCAGTTGTTTCTGAAACAAAATTTATCGCATCTGTGCCTGGTGCTACAAATACAGTCATGGACAAGATGAAGAAAACTAACAGAGACCTTAATCAGATAGAATTGTTAGCAGAGTCCAGCTGGGGAGGTGATCCAGGCCAGGACCCAAAGGATGACACAGAGCCAACCATTTGAGCAGCTGGCAGTGGGTAGGTGGATTATAAAGACTCTCAGGTAGGAAAACAGCGTGTGCTGAAATGCCAGGCAGCAACGGCCCTTGCTCTGTGGGCTAATGCATGGTGTTTGTGTGCACTGGGCCAAGGTGTTTGTGTGCACTGGGCGTGTCTCTGTGCCCCATTGACTGGCAGACCCTTGGGAGGAAGGCCATGCCTCATCCTTCCCTTGAGGGTCTAGGCCAGAGGGTGCTGAATAAATCCCCTCTTTTTACTACAGGCATCACCCAGGAGAAAATCAACGAGATGCGGGCAGCTCCTGAGCAGCAGATGATTGCAGACATCCACTGTATGATTGCAGCGGGTCAGGACCTTGACTGGATAGATGCCCAGGGTGCCACATTGGTGAGGAGGCAGACCAGACTGGGATGGGGGCCAGAGTGGGCCAGCACTGGTGGGGGCCAAGCCTGTGCACCTGGAGTCTGTCTGTGACCATGGGCTTCTGTCAGATCTCTGGGGCCAGGAGTACCCTTGACTTGGAAGGGTTAGCAGAGCAGGGTTATGACTCTTTGAGAACCTGGCTACTCTCAACTAGGGCTGGGAATTAGGAGCCCTGGATAGGATAGGACAGCTCTGCCATCCACCTCTTCTGTCTCCAACATCCTGCTTTACTCAGGATCGAGGTGCCCATCTAGAGCTCATTATTTCCCCTTCCTCCATTGATATCCTCCCAATAATTGGCACCCATTCATATACTCATCTATGCCATCTTGCTTTGTACTGTCCATTCCCCCAGCTTAGTGTCTTCTCTCCTACCCCACTACCATGGCTCATCTCCCTGATATTGTTGCAACAGCCTCTCTCTGGGTTTCCTGACTTCTTCAGGGTCTGGACATACTCATCTATCCATTGGGCCAACCCATCCATCCAGTAAACACACAGTGATAAACATCTCCTCTGTGCTACATGCTTTACTAGATCCTGGAAATACTTTTCTCTCTCAAATTTCTTGGATAATTCTACTCATCCTACTCATCACAGAGGAGGTGAGAGAGGCAGCTGCTGTCGAAAGTCAAGGCCAGGTTGCACCAGGGCATGGCTCACCCTTGCATGGCCCACCCCCTACTGGGTATGTGTTTGGGCCCTCTAGACACAAGGGTCTTCTCTCGAGCTTTTCTGAGAGGTTGAACAAATAGGACAACTGAGGCAGTCCTTCTGCTAGGTGGCTGGCCTCAATGTGGTCATGGGATAAACACATACTAGGTCTCAGGTTTTCCCAGTTAACTGGAGATAATAGTATCTTCCTCACAGAGTTGTTGGGAGGATTAAGTGAGATTCTGTATGTATATGCTTAACATAGAGTCTATAAACTCTCCATAGGTGTTAGCAATAGTCATTATTATCATTAAGAGTATCACTATTCCACTCATGCTTTTTCATTACCAGCCAAGTACTGAGGCCCTACAGTTTGTAATGTTTGCCTAACCAGCCATTTGTTATTCTTAACTGGCAAACATCAGACGTTTATGAATCAGATAATTATACTAATTTTCCTATATGTCTATATCACACCATACCCTGGATTTATTCTGCAAATTAAAATTAAAAGAAGGAAAACCTTTACTTACCAAGACCTTTTAGCAACCTACCACTAGGATGAAGTAGCATCTGACCTTCAGGGCTGTATTCTTTCTTTTTTTTTTTTTGGAGAGGTTTTCGCTACAGGGCGTGTGCACTCGCCAGAGAGACAGAGAGACAGAAAGCAAGAAATCACCCCCCAGGGTGATTCTCCTCTCGGGATCTTGGGCACGCACGCATACGCGCCTGGCATGAGTTTAAGCCTCTGGGTCCAGGACTCAAACCGCTGTCGACTACATGGGAGTCCAGTGACACAGCCATTATGCTAACTGCTGGTTCCCAGGGCTGTATTCTGAAGGGTAACTTCCTGGGGCCTTCTCTCCTCACTCACTCTGCTTCCCCAGACTTTGGCCCTCTGCACATCTCCTTGACTTTATTCATTCTCATGGTTCATTTTGTCATCATGTGGGGTTCTCTAAGAACGCTGATCTTAAATGAACAGAGTGTTCATCACATGCTAAGCCCTTCATGTATTTTCTGAGAGGTTGAACAAATAGGACAACTGAGGCAGTCCTTCTGCTAGGTGGCAGCCATGAATGAAGGCCTTGAATGGTGTCAGGTAGAAAAACTGGGCCCTCCCCATGAGTTTTCCCTTATTGGATTTATCAGTTACCTATCGCTGCATCACAAACCACTCCACATTGTAACATCTTTAAACAATGGTAAATATTTATTGTCTCATGTGGTTTCTGTGAGGCAGGAAAGTAGGGAACAGCTTAGTTGGGTGGCTCTGACTTGGCATCTCTCATAAGATTGCAATCAAGATGTTGGCTAGGGTGGAGGTCTCAACTGAAAGCTTGACTGAAGCTGGAGGATCCACTTTCAAGATGGCTCACTCACCTGGCTGACAACTTCTTGCTGGCTGTTGTTGGGGTGCCTTGGTTTCTCACATCAGCACCCTCTGGCCTAGGATCCAAGGAGGGACAAGGCATGGCTCCTACTGTCCTTAGGGCTGCTTGAGGGTACTTACATCATGGTGGCTGCCTCCTCCTCAAGTGATTGACTGAAGAGAGCAGAAGGGAGAAGCAGGAGTTCCTTTTATGCCCTAGCTAAAGAAGTACACACCACCACTTCACAG